GTGGTTTGCACTTGGTGTCAATATAACGCCTGATCAGCCCAAGGACTTGCGAATCACATGAGTGTTCATGAGAATGAATTGCGCCGTAAAGAAACGGGCTGCGGCAAACAGTTGAGTCAGTTTCACGAGTCAGTTTCACCAGCTGACAATGACACTTAAGAGTAGGACTTCCGCGAACACTTCCATAAGTATTAAGAAAGACGATCGCGGCACCGTAAATTCACAGCCACTGTGCCATATCCATAATATTGCACTCTGACAAACTGATTTAGTTTCCATAATGGCGCCACAATGGTGGAACGATACAATTCTTCGACTGACTTTAAGTGAGATAATGGCGCCTTTCCCGCGGACAGCGCTGCTCGACCGGTGTATTGTAGCAGTTTTGATAAGTGACGCATGGACACAATGCACTATCCCTCCCAAGGTCTTCAATGCACAATACTTATTGACACCCCTACAAGGGAACAATCACTGGCAAATTGTAGTACTGGACACAGCATCAGCTGTGGCCCATTACTACTGTGGTCTCCATGCCTTCAGTTTTAAACGCATCCAGACACTTTTAGATAGACTTCATACACAAGCACAGAGCACTGCAAGGCTTTCAACGAGGGTAGCAAATGGAAAGTGAAGTCACGTCATGAGTGCGGCCTCCAAGACAACACCTACGACTGCGGCCCACTTAGTGCTATCTTCGTTGAGAAATACCTGTACAATGCCCCTATGACATTTCCTACTTCAGAAACCCAACATCTCCGGGCTAAGTTACACGACAGTCTCCATACCTACATGACGGATCCCTCAAAACCCTTCTCCCTCCACGTGCCCGCGCTTACAACACTACAACTGACACTCTTAAACAATCTGCGGTCAGCAACAACATTTATAGACATGCAACACACTACAAAATATAATAACAGACATCCAAAAAATATAACATCAGTATACCCACTGTATCATAGCAAATACAGTTCACTACACGCAGACACAAAACCAAGCCTTTATCCAGCAGCGAGGTACAAAAACTTTACAATAAGAACCCAAAGACGGCAATTAGGACAATAACAGAAAATAAGTCCCCTGACTGCCCCATCCCTCTACCTGTTCTACAAGACGTATTTCGGGCCAGATACGCTCCTAAAACAGGAACACCCCCTGATCCGGACGGTATGCCCCAAGCCTCTTCGGTTTCCTTCGATCATGAGCTTACCAGGCCTTTCATGAAGGAGGAGGTCTTGACTAAGCTCTCCAATATGAGCAAGTCTGCCGCAGGGCCAGACAAAATCACGTATGCCATGCTCAAAAGAGAAGACCCTGGATCCCTCCTTGTCACCGAACTATTCAACGCCTGCCAACACCGCCAGACCATCCCGGATATATGGAAACTGAGGACATGCATACTACTCCATTAGAGAGGGGACTTTGATGAATCCAAAAACTGGAGGTCCATTGTCATAGGAAATACATTAGTTAGGTTATATAATGCAGTCCTAAGCAATAGGCTTAGAAAATGGTTAGAATTTAACAACAATAAACAGAGATATACAGAAAGGGTTTGATAGAGTGGAGGAATGTGCCGAACATGTCTACTTAAGCCAATCCATTGTCCAGGATGCCAAGTAAAGATGTAAGGAACTTGCCATTGCATGGTTAGACATCACCGATGCTTTTGGCTCAGTTCCTCATCAGGCCCTCTTCCGCACACTAGAACTTATTAAGGTACCTGAGTCCACCCTAAATATAATCAAGGACATGTACACCGGTAACCGGATTAGAATACGAACCGGTACTGGCAACACAGGGGAGGTATCCGTGCTGGCAGGCGTTAGACAAGGTGACCCACTGTCCCCCTTCTTTTTAACATTGCCCTGGAACCAGTCCTCAGATGCGCTAATCGCCTGGAACATTCCCTGGGATATGAGATCGCAGGTGAGAAAATAGGTCTCCTTGCATACGCTGATGATATTACTTGCTTCAGCAAAAATATCAACAGCCTACAGGGAATTATAAACCAACTCGACAAGGCAGCGAACAGCCTCGGCCTTACCTTCAACCCCCTATTATGCAAAGTTCTTTTCAAAACTAAATTTAAAAAAGACTTTGACAATGCCCGTGGCACTGTCACCAATTTCTCATACACCTATCCCTACCCTAACTAAATTTGAGGCTGCTCCCTACCTTGGTACAAAAATAGGGGTACATTGTATTAATGCAGACATCCCGCTGCTGGAAAACACCTTAATACACGTACAACACATCATCCAGAGCAAACTTGCTGACTGACAGAAACTGAGCGCTTATAACACATTTACCCACTCCCAATTAACATATGCGCTCAAGAACATGCACTGGGATTACATTAAGGATACCCAGGGAAAATACGACGGCTCCATTAAGGAGCTAGTGCGGCAATGTCTGCATGTCCCAGCCCGAACTTCTATTCACTGGCTCCTTGAAGACGCTAAGAGGGGCGGCGTAGATATCCCCATGACTCGTACAGACCACGCAGTTCTAAGGGTGAGCCTAACGCTTCAACTACTTTGGTCTAGCTCCCCGAAGGTTGCGTCGGTCGCTTCACAGGAACTGAGGGGTCACGTATCCTAATACCTACGCATACCCGAGCGAGACCTTACCCAAGATCACATCTCCTCCTTCCTGAACTCCACTGAGGAGGCACATAACCCTGCGGTATCAGTTAAGAATATATGGACTGACGCGCGTAAGCGACTTAGGTTCCTTAATAAATCCTTAGCGGTCACCATCTCCTTCTCTGGAGCTTGTACTTCTGCCACGGGAACACTCGGTACCGAAACATATGAGTGGACCTCTGGTCAGAAGTACCGAGTTTGCAGAGCCCTGCCCTCCCTAGTTCGATCCTACCATTTCAAGAGGCGGAGTGAACATGCGGTTCAAGGTAAAGTAGCTGACTGTGGCTTCCCATGATATGTTCTTTAACCGCTTCATGTACACTGGGAAGTACGTAAGCGATGCAACCTACCGCTTTGTACATTCCGCACGACTTGACTTCCTTCCCACCCTTGGCCACGCGCGCTTAGGTACGAAGTCCTGCCGTAAACGTGGTTACCACAAGCAGTCCCACATGTTCTCTGTCACTGCATGGCAGCACATACACAGCAATACATCAAAAGATAAAAATGTATTAAACAGAATAGTCGCAGGACTGCCAAGTGGCCCACACAGAAACTCACATTAACGGAACACTTCATATGGTAAACTCCAGACTGCGGCCAGACATCGTAGTCCTAAACCGCAAAACCCACACCGCGGCCATTGTAGACATTGCCATACCCTTTGAGAACAGCTACAGGGCTTTTGAAGTGGCACGCGCACAGAAGATAACACACTATAAACATCTCCAAACAGCCCTTGAACAGCGAGGTTACACAACGTTTCTGGATGCAATCATAGTTGCAGCTTTGGTTTCTTGGGACAAAGCTAATGATAAAGTACTAAGCGCACTGCACGTCAGGCCTAGGCTTGTCAAAACGCTTACAAAGCTTTGCATAGGCGACACTCTAAATGCATCTTGTGAGATCTGACACCCATAGGAACCTCAGAAGCAGAAATAATACTTCCGGCCCCTGCGACACGGTGTAAACCCCAGAATCCGCCGTCTCCCCCGAAATCAAAAGTCCTGAAGAAACAAAGCGCCACCTGAAGACGTCATTGACCCGCCCTCTCCTGACACTGACACTGACAATGATGATCAGCACTTCGCTGCTAAAGCTGATTCGTCCTGTGTAAGTCTAAACGACTACGCGATGTAAATATGTACGCCTATACGAATGTAAATAGTTTTGTACAGAGTATTTGCCTCAATAAACGATATATCTGTTCAAAAAAAAGAAAATGGAAGAAAGATGTTGATCGGCAAACTGGAAAGAATAGTGGCGTTCTGCATGAACGAACCAGAATTTTAGTCACTAATGCAAAGCTGAGTCTAAAAACCATACTATTTATAGTCGATTTTCTCCTCATGTTGACCTATGACTGAAAAACTGCAATCCCAGGTACAAACATCTGAAACTGGCCTTCTGAGATGAATCGCTGGGTCAAGCGACTCGACAAGGTCCGGAGTAAACAAATCTGAGTAAGCCTTCGTGTACAGCCCGCTGATTCTTTAGATTCAGAAGTCACAGATGCGATGGCACGTTTTACTAATGCTTC